TGTAGTGCAAAGAGTGAGCTTTGATGTATGAGAATAAAAAAATATATATATTTAGGAGGTCAGAAGATCCTAGGATGGAATTCAGCTTTTGGCAAAAGAATGTGACTGCATTACAAATGTATGAAATGACACTACTAAAGAGGCTGGAGAAAAAAGGTGCTGCCAATACTCAAATGAAGTGATTCACCTAAGAGCGGACTATATATGCCACAGACATATACAGTATTTTTAGAGCAAGGACCGTTTAATTGTACTTTTAAATAAAAGTAAGTAACTTTTTAATGCTACTTTTAAATAAATGTGAAACTATCCCTATTTTCAGAGATTTCGAGTTAGTAGGTGTTCGGTAAGTCATGTATTAAAAAAGTCAAAGAATATTAATTTAACAAGAGCCTAATATTAATCACATAGTGGCTTAATATTCATATAGAATTGAAATAAATTATGCAGAAAGATTTTATATCTGTTTCTTCTCCCTTTTCATCTGGGTTTCAACCAGAAATATCTGCGTGAGTTACACATTCCCTAAGGCTGAATCGACTTGTTTATGTAATTGTCCTTTTTCTTTTCTAAGTTAAAAATTTTATGATTGAAAATATTTATATTTTTTCATTCCGTCAAAGCAAATTTCTGCCTTGGACTACAATGATTATGAAACAGGAAAATATTTTAAATTTTTATAATAAAATCTATATAAAATAAGCTTTTTTACATACAGGTACTGGTCCTTGTAAATAACGTATAAGAAATTCAAATATTTGGACACGCCAAGGATGTGAAATAGTTATAAAAGCGATATATGTAAGGCTTCATTTAAAGATTTTGCAGTGGTAGAAGGTCATAAAGAAGATCAGACCTCTGACAATGCAAACTTCACAAAACTACCCCTTCTAATTCCAGAATTCAGATAATAATTCTAGCTGTTTTCAATGGAATTTAGATTATTTTAATGTTGAGGTCAGGGAGGAATTGGGAGATGACAGTCAAAAATATTGTAACATTGGTCAGTGCCTCTTAATAAAATCTGACCAAAGTTATTATTTTTTTCTGTCTCTATTAGCTTTGAGATGGGGCTGAATGGTTTTAATTGGGGCCACTAGTAAGGCATCATGGGGTCAATTAAACCTCCCCAAATTCTGTATGTCCAACTGGATTGTGATCACCTCTGTGTTGTGTAGTATCCTTGAGGGGTTAAAATAGAAGAGCTCTGGTATTACCCCTGAATTCATCTCTAGACTGTCCTAGGAGACACTGAAGTAGACAGTAGTTTGAAAGCCTTCTGAGTACCTTTTGTTCATTGACACATTGGTGTATTATGTGAATTTGAATTCATGTGATGTTATCTATCTCCATGAAATTGGTGTAGAGTTATATATTGGGAAATGAACATATTTTTCATAAATGCAGATACATACATTACTAAAGGGTCACAAATTTTATACTACATTTTAACTTATTCATATGAGAGTGACTTTAGAAATCATTTATTCAGGAAACCCGATTTTACAATGAGGAAATTGAGATTCCAGGAAGGAACACAACTGCAATTCTTATTCCCATTAGTATGGCAAGGCAAGGCTTGAACTCCCAGCACAGTGCTCTTTCTGCCATGAAACAATGTGTATGCAATTATATGGAGATATGGATTCAAAGATACAGCTATGTACCTGCAACACAAAACTGGTTAGGAACAAATAATCTCTAATCAATGTAGTATGTAACAAAACCTACTAATTCTAGCTTGAGTCTAAGTGGTTTGTTTTTTGTTATTTTTCCATACCAAATGCATATATCCTATAAAGAAAAATAAACACTTAAAAGTCCAGATAATCTTGATTACTTACTGTTGTAATGGATAAAAAGGGGCTTCAACAAATGCCTTAGTTCCATACATTTTGTATAATAAGACTTTGTAACCTTTACAGTATCTACACAGTTTTCTCTGTGTGTAGTGCTCAGTAAATTTGTGTTAATTAATTGAGAGGTGAAATGCAGGCATCTCTCAACTTATCAATGAGTGAAACATTTCTCTCATTTCATCACAGACTTATATGGAGTTATCATGTGGATGATTACATCTTTATGTGTTTAAATAAAAAAGTAAAGAACGTACATTTTAATGAATGCCTACAAAGTGCCTGCCAGTCACTTTATATCTATTATCTCTAACTCTTAGCACATCCTTATGTCATAAGAATTTAATTTCTATTTACAGGTGAAAAAAATGAGGTTTAGATCAAATTAGAAGTATGGTCAGGGTTGGAACCAAATTCTGCCTGACCACAAAGCCCATCTACTTTGCACGCTATAGTCAAATCTGATATTGTAAAACAGCTTCATAATATGCTCTTTCTATAGCTATTTTGAAATGTCTCAGTGCTGGGTGGGTCATAAGAAGAAGGAAAAAAAGCAGAGTCAAATTCCCTGCAGGCAAAATTTTCAGTCCAAAGGTGCATATTGTTTTTTCTTTGCATGACTTCACAGTGCATCCCAATGCTGTGCTACTCTGTTTATTTCAAAGCATATGGAAAGAGTTTTATGTTTTAAACAATTAGACTTGACAGCACTATTGTTTCTTTCTTATTTAATATCTCCCAGCCCTGGAGACCAGCCAGAATCTGTATTCTCTCTCTAAATTTAATTCTTATACCTCATATATATCACTTAGTTGTCAGGAGACAGCAACTTAATGACATTTATTTCTGTGGCTTAGGAGCATCTGGGTTATGTCACTTTTTAGTTGACCTGCTGAGCTCAGAGGGAATAAAGTTCTTTGTCTAATGATCTTTCAGGGGCCCTTATCATTGGTGATTTTGCTTTCCTGAACTTATGTTGTTCTGTAAATGTCATGAGATGATAAGATTTGTAGATATTAATTTGTTTCTGCTCAAAGAAGGAAGACACTTATAAGTATGAAAGGAGAAGGAAACAAGGATATTATAGAGGAGAAACCAGCAAAATCATTGTTGTTGGTGTATAATTTGCCGGTTTGGCAAGTCTAAAACTCTAGGGGAAATGGAAACAAAGGCTATGGAGTGGGCAAAAAAATGCATCGCTATGTTTTGTATAATTTCAATTCAACTCAAATGAATTCAATTCAATGTAATTCAGTTCAATCAATTCAGTTCAGTTCAATTCAATTCAACAAATATCTCTTTGAGCCCTTAGGGAAAAGCAAGTAATGTCCTAGATGCTGAAACATGTTAGATTTCTTTAAGAATTTGTGTGACCAAGAAAGCGGGACTAATAATGTAGATGGCTTTGAGAAAGTCACTTCACTTCCCTGGGTCTCAGTTCCCTTGTCTGTTAAATGGTGATTTCTTTCAAACATTTGCATTTGCTGACATTCCTTATGGGAGGGATATGCTTAAATTGAAGGAGCACTTGCTTTAAAATTGATGACTCATATTTTAGTTCTGGTTCTGCTCTTTTTTAGCTGTTTGAACTTGGTAAGTCTGTTGGCTTTTTTGGGTCTCATCTAAGGAGTCAGAGTAGCTGATTGTGAAGGTTCCCTTTTTACCACATGTTCTTATGAAACTGTATGAAATCTCATTTGTTTATGTTAATATCTTGCATAGAGTAAGCAATCAAATCATGAGGATTTTGTTGTATTTGTTGTTGTTGAATGTAATTGTTATTCTTTACTCAAAAGTGGTATACTGGTATTGTTTGTAAATTGTGACCACATAGGCATGTAACATGTGCCTGTGACAGAAAACATGGCTCTGTGATTTTAAAAGTCAAAAATTTCCAAACATGAGTATCTCTTTGAGTAAGAGAGAAGTGTCTGGCAAGATTTTAATTGGTGAGGAGTTTATGTCTGTCATCTTGAAGCAAACAATATTTTATAAACTAAAATTTATCGAGGTCTGTTATAGTATCTATTACAGTTCATGAAATATTATAGTTGTCTTCCCTGCTATGCCCTTTTTGCATAAGGATTTCCCACCTGATTGACATCAGGTTTTGCCATGTGACTTGCTTTAGCCAATAAAATTGTGAGAAGGAATTAGATATTCCATTTCTGAATGGAAGCTTTAAGAGAGACAGTGGACAATTACTGTGTTCCCTTTCTCTCCACCATGAGACCAGCAATGTTCCAGGGTCTGGGGTGTCCATCAGCATGGGACTCAGCATGAAAACACTGTGAAGCTATATTAACACTTGTAGAGTGATCAAGGACTAATCTTTTGTCATTGTAATCTGTTAAGATTTTTATCCCATTGTATTATGCTTTCATCCATCCTGACTATACTGTGCTGCACAAATATAGTCTTGGGTCTTTAATGTATGATGCACACAGGAAGTATGCATATATTGGGGGAAGCAAATCTGGCCTTGGAGTCAGAGATGGCCATCTCGATAATATGCATTTGAACTCACAGTTTATAAATTAATAGAAGTGAAACTGGCCAAGGGCCAAGAAGAAGAAGAGAGTGTTGCAAATGGAAAAAAAACCACAGGCCAGAGCATACAGGAAAAAAGGTAAAGGCGGGAAACTCATTGTTGAGTGTGGCTGCAGGACAGCATAAAGGGGGAACTGAGAAGGAACATGGCTATTAAGATTACATCAATAATAATAATAATAATAATAATAATAATACTGAGCATTTATTAGCTTTGTGCTAAGTGCTTTGCATACTTGTCCTCATATTTATCAACATCATTTTATAGAAGAGGAAATTGAGTCAGAGAAAGGTTTAATAATTTGCCTAAAATTGTCTGAAAGGCAATAGGAGATTACTGAATGGTTTTGCACAGGGGAACCTCATGTTCAGATTCACATTTTGACAAGATCATCTGGCTGGATTAGGTTTCCAACTCAAAATCCCTCTGTGGTTGGAGGGAATGTTGGCCTCAATTTCTGCTGATCTTATCAATATGACTCCATTGACTAAGACAGTGAACAGGAGAGAAGGTGATAGCTGGAGCACCACAGAAACAATCGCTTTTCAAAAATGTTTTTAAAAAATTAATAAACTTTATTATTTTTTAAATTAAAAAAAAAGGAACGTTTCATGAATTTGTGAGTTATCCTTGCACAGGAGCCATGCTAATCTTCTCTGTGTCATTCTATTTATTATTTGTGCTGCGGAAGTTAGCACAGAAAAAGTTCTAGTTCATGTTTTGAAGGCGTAGGGGTGGTAAAATATATTTAGTCTCAAGAACATTAAGATTTGGGTAGTAGTTTTAATAACAATATAAATATAATAAATTGATCCCTAAATGAGCACTTGTACCTAATTCAAATAATGGATATGATATTACATCAATATTTTGAGCATTTCAATTTACTTTTGACTGTAAAATAGATAATACAGTGGGCAAAGCCAATATCTTTAAATAGATTTAGTTAGTTCTTTCCTTCTTGTTTACTGAAGCTGAATAATAGTGATTATAATTTGTGTTTCTCTTTGTCACATGTAGAGAGATGTATAGACCCAGTTGTCTTTTGTGAGTTGTTTGGTATCAATCAGAAGCCTGTAGAGACTTGGGCCTGACAGAACAGGTCCCCTAGTCAAGATGATAAGGACTGTGATTCACATGAGTGCTTTTCAGATCTTTGTAGAATCCCTTCTGTTTCAACAGAATTCAAAGGAAGAATGGTATGTAATTTTAATTTTCATAGTTTGCTTCCTATAACCTCCTTTATACACTAACCCAGAACCCCAGTTCTTCCTCTTTCCCCTTCTCTTTTCCATTTCCCCTTCTCCTTCTTTTTTTCTACTTCCCCTTTCCTGCTTGCTCTCTTGATTAATCCTTTTTCTGTTTTAAAACAGTCTCAGTGTCTGCAGAAAATGACATGCTAAAAATGAGCTTACACCAATATGCATGAGAAGATTTATTGCAACAGAGAAAGGATGTTATGTGACATCGCACATATTAATCTTTCCATGTTTGTTTAAAAAGATCTGGATTTGGCTACTTTTATTTATGTGCTTTTAAGGAGATGTGGTTGGGTCAGAACAGGAGATCTGGGAGATGATAGAGATTTATAGCTCAAGTGTCCAGGAATACAGGTCTGCTCTGAAACTGGCTTCTTATTCACAGCCACAGGCGCTGCATCCTTTGAGGTTCCATTTCGAGGGGCTGGCTTGGCAGAGGTTTTTAATGCCACTTCTTCCAAACAAGCTGCCCAGCCAGGGAAGTTGTCAGAAAAGATCAGTGCAGGTTTAGGGATGATTTTTTGAAGTTTTCCTGAAATAACCAATAATGAGTTGCCGGCTTTGATAGCTCTTTTTATAGATCTTGCAGCAGCTGGATCAAAATCTAATGAAGATGTTTGCATCTGACAATGGCAGGCCTGCACGTTCTTATCCTATTTCTCAAGTGCGCAAATGCATTTCATTTGGGAACATGAAAGGCATATTTAGTGACAACTGATGGTTCTTTGTTTTTTAATTCCCAATAATGTCTTCAGTAAGTGCTTTTGTTAACATTTTTGCATTATACAATAGGTGACACAGGAAGATAATTGGTGTGCTGAAAGCAATTAAAGAGTTTATATCCAACTTGTTCTGCCTATTAAATGGATCCATTCGGCATAGAAGCACATTAGCATCTTTACAGTGAAATGATTGTGGAAATAGGTTATTCATGCGGCCTGCGCATCTTCCTCTTGCTGCAATAAGGCATATCTTCAAGATTGGAGAAAAAGAATGAGCCATTTTTCTCCCCTTGGAACTGTAAACAGAAGTAAAACTATTAATAGATGCTGTAGCTAATCCCAAGAAGCTGCAAGGAGGAGATTAAATAATGTTGTGAAGAGAGAAAGCTGGAATAAAGGGAGGGGCTGAGAGTTCCCTGATCACTCAGCTGCCTTAGACAAGGGCAAACTGAAGGACTCCACTTGATCATAGGATCGACAATTGTATAACAGATTCCTGTTTTCAGCAAAGTAAATATCACTTCATCTATTTCCTGAGCATCATTCTAATGGGGAGATTCATGTTTTATTTTTTAAGTAGTGGTCAAAATGATTTTAAATGGGGTTAGGATGACATGGAGATGTAACCAAGCCGAAAGGGGGAAAATGGAGCAAAAAAGTGGGTTTTATGATTAAAGAATAACAGCAGGAAACTGGGAAGCCTTTGTATAAGTTTACAATTTGATACTGGGACCCCATTTTGATTGCCATATAGAATGTATTATAACAAGAGAGAGGGAATGTAATTAAATTTTGTAACTGGCATATTAAAAATGATTAAATGTTCCCAAGTTTTATTCCTACTAAAACTCTTGGACTCTTGTTCATCCTCTTCAATGAATACATGTTGAATGAGAGGCATTATGACTTAGCAGCTCTGCCTAGGAGCATCACTTCTCTTCGAACTTTTACACAAACTGTGAGGTTGACATTATTGATACAATTTAGAACTACTTGGACAGCATGGGGCCCACAGACATCATCATCATCATCATCATCATCATCATCATCATTATCATCATTGTGACTTGGAAACTTATTAAAAATGAAAATTTTGTGACCCTACACTATACCTAATACATTAGAACCTCCAAGGGTGGACCCTAAGAGTGTGTTTTAACAAGTTCTATGGATGATTTTTATGTTCACTAAAGTTTGAGAAGCAGTGTTGTAGTTGAGAAGTCTGAAGCTCAGAGTGTTTGGGTGATATGTTAAGATAACACCCCATCCGAGAAAAAGAGTTGAATTTTGACTTAGGATTTCATATTCTGTCCCAATTTGAGATCTTTCACAGGATCATTAAAATTCCTGGTCACTGCCTCCTGGGATCAAGAGCACATTTGGTCTCCATAAATAGTCTTTTGTTAGGGATTATGACTGAGGATGCTTGGAATCTATGACTGATTTAAGTTGTTATTTCTCTGCTAGAATATAAATTCTATTGTCTTTCCCAGTGTGCCTAGCTTCTGATAGAGACTGGACTGGCCCCTTTTCTGGTGTGCAAAGAGACAAGAAAAACCCAAACAGTGTCTGGCAGGTAGGCCAAAGGATGACACTGTACAGCATTCATCTGTTCATCTACTGAAACACCATTGAGAGGACTGAATGTTGATAATCTCTACATTCTTACACTTATTAAGCTCTACATCCTGGCATGTTTTAGAGTGAAACAAATTGATTTATGATTGCAGATCACTAAAAATCAGCAGTGAATTGACCTAGATCAAGGAATTCATTGGGTGCATGAGAATATAGACCAGCTCATGGGGAAAGAGGCTTATTGATATCTGGCCCTATTGACTGTCATCCTCCATGCTTGAATAATTAGCTCAGGCCTTTGGTATTCAGACTACATTGAGCACTCAGAAGTAGCTGGATGCTCATTAGGATATGACTGCTTTTATTGGCATCATTTTGCTTTATCTTTATTCATTTTTTTACCCTTTTTCTTGATAGCATTTGGAAATCATGACCTAGAGCTGAAATATGCTATTTACTCAATAAAGACAGGCTTTCAAAACAAAATTAATGATGTTATTTGGCCACTGATATTATGACTAAAGGGTTTCAAGGAGGGAGTATATTAGAGCAAGGAAACTCTAGCATCTTACAGAGGTTCCTACCTTAAGTTTGCTACTTGCTAGTTTGTTATGTCCTTCTGCTTGTTACTTTTAACCTTTCTGAATCATAATTTACTCTGTAAACTAGGGAGTGTTTTGTATCTCACAGAGTGATTTCATGGATTAAACATGGGGCGATGATATATTCGGTTTGCTTAGGACCATCCAAGTTTACATGTTTTGATATAATTATGTACAGCATTTCCTTTCACTCTGAAAGTATCCTGATTTGGATGATAAATTATGTAGTCACACTAATTAAATAAAATACTATATGTAATGTGTCATGTCCCATTAGTAAGAGAGCTGTTATTTGAAATATTGCATCTGGAAGCCAGTTGTATCTCCTCACTAAATTAGACATAGTCTTCCTCCTTGGAAATTGAATGTGAAACACTCAGGGCTATGCCTATCTGTTCTAGAGGGTCTGACAATCCTGTGCTCCCCTGTACCACTCCTTTTTTAGCTAGAACTTGGGGCAAAACTCACTGGTCACTTTTGTAGAATAGAGTGTTGCTGTCACCTAAGGATAATTGATACAGTTTTTTGATCATTGGTATAGTTTTTTTTTTGGAGTTTCCAGAATCCAGTAAGGAAGTATATTACATTTATGAGAACCCATTCAATGCCAGGTGCTCAAAATCTGTAAACTTAGGGTGGGCATTATTAGTCCCACCTTACAGAAGAGGAGCTCAGACTGAGAGAAAAAACAGTTTTAAGGTCATACATTTGATAAGAGGAGAAGCTAGGAGTTAAACTCTTGTTTTTCTGTCTCCTAAGCTCCTTCCACAACAATGATCAAATGCTATTAATGAAGAAGTCTAACACCACATGAAATGATAAGTAATACTAATCAGTTTAAGATTATTCTTGGCTTTCTATCTTTGACAGGTGGAGTAGAAATATTCTGTCTCACGGAGGGAGGATATTTCTAAAACCAACCTGCCACTTCTTTGATCTTAATATTTTTCCCCATATAGCTTTTCAAAGTTCATTGAACATCCTAGATATTAATTGCTGCTTTCCTGCTGCCTCTGCCAAACATCCACAAATTAAGATTATTAGAAAGCAGAAGGTTTGATTTGGGCTAAATGTGGATGAAATGAGAGGAAGAGGAGAAAGAGGAAGACAGGCAAGATAGGATGACTGTCATATCAGATCCATCTCTACACAAACGGATGGAGACTTTTTGGAGAAATCCTTTTCTTCCCATTTTCCTAACCATTTTAGGTTAATTCTGACCTGCTTTAGGTAGATAAAGATAAATGTGAATTTTAAATTATATTTAATCTTCATTAAAGTAATTATCTCTCTTAATGAAAAATTTACTGGGTTGTGGTTGTGCAATGGAGTATAAAATCCTAAGTGAATAAAATCAATTTCATTTTCAGTCTAGCTTTTCTGTCCATTTATAAACAAGGCACAGATAATGTATTTGCTCAGAGTCATGCAGCCTGCTTATAGCTCACACAAAGCCATTACCACTTACAAAAGCAGGAAAGTTGGCTCTCCATTTCTGATCTTTCAATTTTCAATCTAAAGGAGAGTGTTCACCCTA